TGGGCCCCCAGGGGAGCCGACGCACACAGGGAAAGAAGCCGCTCTCAGCCCTGGGCGAGTTTATTGCAATTTGAGCAAATGTATCAAGTGAAGAGCCATTTTCATGCGTTTAGTTCTGAGGACAAGAGCGGCGTTACCTTCCCCCTACCCCCCCCCCCCTCCTCTCCTCCCCCTCCCTTTCTCCCCTCTCTCCCCTCCCTCCCTTTTTCTCCCTCCATCCTCTTCCTCCTTCCTCCTTCCCCTTTCTCCTCTTCCTCCCTTTTTCTCCCTCCATCCTCTCTTCCTCTTTCCTCCTTCCCCTTTCTCCTCTTCCTCCCTTTTTCTCCCTCCATCCTCTCTTCCTCCTTCCTCCTTCCCCTTTCTCCTCTTCCTCCCTTTTTCTCCCTCCTCCTGTTTCTCATCCTCCCTCCTTCCCTCTTCCTTCTTGCTCCCCTAGCATTCCTCTGCTCCTTCCTTTTTCCTCCTCCTCCAGTTCCCAGGTTGCCTAGCACCGGGCTGGCCACAAAGGAAGGATGGTTCAGTAAGGTTTTAGCACAGCCCTAAAGTCTGATGGTACAGACCCCCCCTCCCTTCTCTCCTCCCTGACTCCTTGACTTTGAGGGTCTATGCAGCGTCTGAGGGGGCTTGATAGCCTTGGAAGCCCTCTGGCAGCACTGAGCTCCCGTCCTCTCTCAAGGGGGCACCTGGCATAGTTCAAGGCCAACAGCTGACATTGCCCACCCAGAGCCCTTACTCTTGACCCTGGCCTAGGGCTGGAGTCCTGCTCTGCTTGAACCCCGCCTGGGGAACACTGCTTCATCGGTGGCCAGCTCTGATGATCTGTGGTAGGTCCTCAGGCCCCTGCCAGCTCGGACACTCCACGCCTTTATGCCTCTAGGACCAGGAGAAAGAACGGAGCTGAGTCCAGAGGACAGGCACCCTGGTGGCCCCTTCCCTTGGGGCTATGGCCCCAAACCAGGCAACAAGCCCGGTGCCCATATCTGCTTATGCCAGTGACCCTCCCTAGGGCAGCACTAGAGCCTCCCTGGGGAGAAGGAAGGCACGGTACCAAGGCCCCAGTCTTGTATCAGCACTAGAAATGATCACTAATAATAATCATCTCTCAAGACAGAGACCTGCTGATGCTGAGGGAAGTGAGCAGAACCAGGAGAATGTTGTACACAGTAACAGCCTCATTGTGCGATGACTAACATTGATAGACTTGACCCTTCTCAGCAATATAAGGACCTAAGACATTTCCAAATGCCTCATGATGGAAAATGCCATCCACATTCAGAGAAAGAACTCTGGAGTTTGAATGCAGATCGAAGCAGACTATTTGCTATTATTTTTTCTTGTTTTGTTTCCTCTTTCTGGTGGTTCCTCCTATTGGTTCTACTTCTTCCTTACAACACGACTAATGTGCAAATGTTTAGTAGGAACGTGTATGTAGAGCCTACATCAGATTATGCGCCATCTTGGGGAGGGAGGTGGAGATGGAGAGGGAGAAAAATTTTAAACTCAAAAGCTTATGGAAGTGAGTACTGATAAATCAAAATAAATAAATCAATTTTTAAAAAAGACAGAGACCTGCCCAAGGAGATGCTAGCCCTCACTGCCGCTACCCTGTCCGTTGCTGACGCCACATGCCAACACCATCACATCCACAGCACAATGAGCACCCAGTCACCACATCGAGATGGCGCCTGGTCTCAAGACCGTCCCTATGTGAACTCTGCCCTCAAATCCAGAGATAAGTGAGTGATGGGAGGAATGCAAGGCATTTACCCTGTGCTGAGTGCTGGGGACACAAGCACCAAGGTACGTACGGCCCCACCGTCAGAGCACTTACTGAGCACACAGACAGCCTACTGGGGAGCTGGAGCTGGAAGGCAGGATGCTGGGCCAGAGTGCAGTCTGGCCAGGCTTCAGCAGGGCCTGAGCAGATTATTGACTATTGATTGTATACTGCAGACAGACAGGTAGCTGGGGGAGGGGATGGCGAAGAAGCGGCACCCTGAGCTGCTTTGATCCGGACGTGGAGGAGAGGAGATCCTCACACTCTGGGCACGGGGGAGGTGCAGGGATGCCGGAGATGGTGGGTCCTGGGTGAGGACTAGCAGCCCCGCTAGTCTCCAGTCCACCTGGAGACGCTGGCTGGGGCCACACTAGGAAGGGCTGTCAAGGTCAGAGAAGTCTGGGCTGGCTCCTAGAAGAGGGGGCCGCTGCAGCAGCATCAACTGGGCTTTAGGGGTGTCCTGTCCCGACTCTCCAGACTGCACCAACATGTATCGGCAGCCTTCCCAACCTGGGACATCCCTCTGCCACTGGCAAGTTCCTTCTGGGGTCGCCATTTTGGGGGATGGGCCCACCATGGTTCACTTGCCCTTCACTGTGCTTCTGCCTATCCCCATTTCCCAACAATGCACCCCTCCCCCACCCTTGCACCATCTACACCCCCTTCCCCTTTTCATCTCGCTTTCATTCGCAGTATTTTCCTATTAGAATGTAAGCTCCTTAAACGACAAATGTTGGAGATGTGGAAAAATTGGAACACTAATGCATTCTTGGTGCAGTTGTGAACTGATTCAACCATTTTGGAGAGGAATTTGGAACTATGTCCAAAGGGCTATAAAAATGTGCATGACCTTTGACCCAGCCACAGCACTTCTAGGGCTGTAACCCAAAAGAGATCACACAAAACGGGAAATCATACAACATGTACAAAAATATTTATAGCAGCTCTTTTAGTGGTGGCAAAGAACTGGAAATTGAGAGGATGCCCATCCATTGGGGAATGGCTGAACAAGCTGTGGTAAATGAATGTAATGGAATACTATTGTGCTACAAGAAAAGATGAGCAGGCAGACTTCAGAAAAACCTGAAAAGACTTGTATGGTCTGACGCTGAGTGAAGTGAGCAGAACCAGGAGAACGTCGTACACAGCAACAGCCACGTTGTGTGACGACTGACTTTGATAGACTTAGCCCTTCTCAGCAATGCAAGGATCTAAGACACCTCCAAAGGCCTCATGATGGAAAATGCCGTCCACATTCAGAGAAAGAACCGTGGAGTCTGAATGCAGACGGAATCAGACAGTTTCCTTTTCTTTTGTTGTTTTCTTTTGTTTCTTCTTTCTCGTGGTTCCTCCCATTAGTTTTAATTGTTCTTTATTATCACGACTAATGTGAAAATTCATTTAATACGAATGTATAAGTAGAGCGTATATCACCATCTTGGGGAAGGAGAGGAAGGGGGAGAAAACTTAGAACTCAAAAGATTATGGAAGTGATTGTTGAAAACTAAAAATAAACTGATTTAAAAAAAGAACGTAAGCTCTGTGAGGAGAAACTTTCCTCTTTGCTTGTATTTGTACCTTTGCCACCACCACTTTCTTCTCTCTCTCACTGTTGAGAAGGGGCCCACTTTCCTCAAACCCCAGGCCTGGGGAAGGCCTGCCCCCAGCCCTGACCAATGGCCAGCTTCCAGTCCAGCCCTCCCAGCCATCATCCAGGGCAGCCACATTCCACCAAGCACACAGGCCAGTCAGCCTGGCCACAACAGCAAGAGAACCGCGCGGGAGGGGCAGAAGGTCAGGAAGGGGCTCGCCGAGGGCAATGATGGGAGTGCGTGATCTGTGGCCGTGAAGTGAGGCCTGCTGCTCCCAAAGACCTGGGACCTTCCCCTCTGTCCTGTGTCCCCACTACTTGGTGTCCTTACTGGGCACCTAATCAAGGCTTCCTTCTCTGTCAGTCTGTTGAGGGCCTGGGGCAACTTCACAGCTCTTTCACAAAGGCCCACGAGAGCAGCTTCCTCCAGATCCGAAGACTCCGCCCCACGCTCTGGGACCCCTCATGCGGCTCAGCAACCCCACGACTTCCCTATGACTGGCCCAAGGTCACAAGCCAAAGCCGCTTCTTCCAAATCTCCACCTTGTTTGCTCACGGTGCCAGAGCCTGGCACACACTTGCTAAGTTACCTCCCTGGCACCTCTACGTAGGAACCCCGGGGCAGGCCAACCTCCCCCCTTTCAGACCGTGACGCTCACTTTGGTTCTTTTTAATTCAGCGTGAATGGAATGACCATTAACACTTCTCTGTCCTCCGTCTGGGTCCCTTTACCCGCTAGGAGCCAAGGGATAGCCCAGGGGGTGGGGCACAGGCAGACAGGAAGGGGGATCCTCTTGGATGTTTACTCAATTTACCAGGAAATCCAAAGGTCTATGGAAAAAGAATTTCAGACCAAAGTCATGCAGAGCAAAAAATCCTGACATTTTCCATGCAGAGTTCCTGATTTTTTTCCTTATAATTTGGTTAATATTTCATTTTTCTTTTTAAAAGAGGTTCACTGCTTTCACTTTTTAAATACCTTACAGAAGACAATTTCGTCTAAATGACAATGTTAAAAATCAGGCATAAAAAAGAGATTTGCTTTTCCAATAAAATTGCATAATTTTCTTGGCAAAGCTTAGGTACTGAGGAGTCAAGCGTAGGGTCACCAAGGGCTCTGTGGCCAGCTGAATCATTATGTCTTCTCAGTTTACCAATTTAGTCAAATGTGAGTTAAAAAATTTTCAATTAATCCACTTTCACAATGAAGGCAAGTCTCTTAGGGTGATTTTTCTGGCTTTTTCAATGCCTCGTCACAGTGACTCTGGAGATTCCTGAAGCCTGTGGAATGAACACAAGGGCTCCTGCCATGCCAGAAGGCTGTGGAAGGCGGCGTCTGGGAGCACTTGCTGCTGGGGTCCTTTGGAAATCGTTTTGGGGGGCAAAAAGTTGCTCTCAGCTGGCTGGACTTAATCATTTGTGCAGAGAACACAGTAGGTGTCTCCCACCCTCCCCAGAGGGAGGTTGGTGGAGCCCCAGGTCCTGCTGAGTTGTGTCCAAGCTAAGGGATGGCCACGACTGGCCCCTCAGGACGGCTCCTCTCCCTAGCTCCCTTCACCAAGTCCGTGACTCCTTTACTGTGTGGAAAATAAATCAAGTTTCCCAAAAGGACTGTGATTCTCCATTTTAACATACATGTAGATGATCATTTATTAAATTAGAAGACCAAAACATATATGTGACAATGAGAGAAAAAAATGCAGACACAGGAGCCCAACAACAGAATCAGAGCCCGAGGCCCGTGAGTCGTCTCTGCAAAGCCTCCCATGTTCACCTAAGCAGGCCCCGCCAAGGCCACCCCTGCCCCAAGCCCCAAACACAGGCTGGGGCTGGAAGGGGCCCAGGACACCCACGGGCTGCCTGCCTTTGGCCACACACCGTCTGTCCTTGTGTGTTGGGCCATGCCTCGGTGGGGAAGGGCCCATCGCACGTTCCCCAAGTCCATGCTTACCCCATTCCCTGATGGAGAAGCGCCTTTGAAAGGCCCCAGCCCCACATTCTGGCATCGTTTCTGCCTCCCAAGCCACTAAGGTCAAATCTCCAGACCCAAGGGAAGGTGGACACACCCCCAAAGCAGCATCACACTGGTGCAAGGGCAGCTAGGTGTGGCTGGAAGCCGCCCCAGGACCCCAGAGGGTGTGGATGCGGCTGGTCAAAGACTAGTCAGAGGTCCCCTGTCCAAGGGCTCCCAAAGGAAAATCCAAGGGCAGGCTCTCTTTTCCCTCAACATCTCAGCCAAGTGGGCGAGATCACTTCCCAAAGAGGCTGCTCCCCTGGGAATGGCGCTCGGGCGGTCACGCGGGGCCAGGCCAGCCTCCCCATCCCAGCCCGGTGGCCTTAGGCCCTGAACAAAAGAAAACTGACCGCTAATCTGAATGAAAAAAAGAAAAAAAAAAGCGGGGGGATTATAGCCTTCCCTGCTATGCAGATAATCTGCGTTCCCAAACAAAGAAGCAAGAAGTTTGGTCCTGACCTGAGAACTGGAGCCCCTGATGGCACAGCCACCAGCACACACTTGCACGTGTGCGTGTGTACACACAGGTCTGATAGTCAACACCCAGAACAACAGGGACGCGGTATTTTCTGATTGGGGGAAGGGGAACACACAGGCTCTCCCTTCCTTGTGACCCCCCGGGGGCCCAAAGGGCTCAGCCTCCAGTCGACCATTCCCCACCCCCAGAGGACTGGCCGCCGGAAAGTGCACGACTTCTAGGTCCATCGGTGGGGCCCCTCCCACAGAAGGGCTCGGCTGCCCGACGGTCGCTGGGCATGCCCGGGCACCGCCATAGGAAGAGGGGCTCTGGCGCTCGCCCCGGTCAGTAGTAAAGCAACAGGACAGACGGCAAGAATGCGCCTTCGCGGCCTCTGCGGCTGACTGAAGCGCACTGTCAATGCGGAGGAAGGTCCCCCTTGGGACAGGACTTCAGGGACATCGTCGGAAGGGAAGCATGATCAGAGCGGAGAGGATTCCTAACCAGCTAAAGATGGTGCATGCTTCCGGGGGAAGGGGGACACGGCGTGCCTCGTCATGCCCACGAGGCCACCTCCAGGGAAGGCAGTGGGGCAAGGCGTGGGGGGAGGGCAGGCCTTCCCTCTCCGGCCCAGGGCAAGTGGTAACGGAGTGCCCCGAGGCAGAGGTGGACAGTGCCGGCCCTGCGGTGAGAAGGGGGAGGACAAGGCGAATAAATACACGTGACACTTCTCCCCCCCAACAAAACAGCACATAGGGCATCGCGGCTATTAACTGGAAAAACCCACATGCATCTGCAGAGTGACCAAAAAAACGGCGTACAGCTGGGGGACGTTAATGCCCAAGAAAAAGAGAGAGGACAATCACTCGGGGACTGGACGCCGACCACTGGGCAGGTTGAAGGAGAGGGGCAGCGAGCAGGCCGAGTAGGCCGCGCCCCGGGGGGAAGCCCTAGGACTCCTCCCCGATCTGCAGCAGGGAGTTGATGGCCGCCTCCCGGTTCCCCCTCTGGGCTTCCAGCACCGAGCGGATCACTTCTCTGTCCATGTTGGGGAACATGTCCTGGATGGCTTTCAGGTCCTCTTCGCTACACTGTGGCTGGGGACTGACCACCGGAGGGGCCACCGCCAAGGGCATCACCCCCGGGCCGCAGACAGCAGGCACTCCTACAAACAGGAAGAGAGACCACTCAGCGCTGCCCAAGGGCCAGGGCGAGGGGCAGCAGTGGGCAGGGCCAGGAAGAGGGCGACGACCACGCCCACACGCACGTGCACGTGCAGCTGTGGGCCTGCTCTCCTAACACCCGCTGCACCTACTTCACCATTCTGAAGCCTGCTTCCTTTTTTCTTGCTCCAGTGTGACTGAAGCATACCCCCAGGGGACATTTCTAAAGTGACTGCAGCCATGCTGCATGTGTCCAGGAATACTGCACGTTGGAAGAGCTGAGGCCAGGCTGGTGTGAGGGCACAACAGCTCTGCCCACCACTCAGTGACCCAGGAAGACACCATCTTTCTCTGGCTGCAAAGGGCACAAGGCGAGGGCATCACTTTCCATCTTTCAGACATTGGCCCTGATGGAGGGGATTCCCAGAGGGGACAAGAAACCCGGGGGGGCAGAGCCTGGGCTGGCAGCTGGCTGGGGGATGGGCCCAGGACTCGACAACAAAGGGCCAAGTTTTTAAACTGGAAAACCCAACTCACCATGGCTAAACTCAAGGGCAAGGGGAGGCCGTTACTGAAGGGGCTTTTATGTTCTCTATCAGCACAACGTAATGGGGCTTCGTAACACAGCCTGGCACCTGACTGGCCCCGTTTGACTTCTGGGGATGTCTCACATTGAACTCTACCCCCTCCCAGTACTCCGCCCAGAAAGCTTCTGGGTAAGTGGCCGCCAAGAGCTAGGGGAGAGACCTTCGACCCCACTGGGCCCAACCCTCCCATTTCACAGAAGAGCCAGCAGAGGAAGCCTGAAGAGAGGAAACTATTGGCCCTGGTAGTCACCGAGCCAGGGCTGGCGCCTCCCCTACTGCCCCTTCTCCCGTGCCGCCAAACCTCTTCTGGACAGACACACGTATTCCCTAAGGCTTATTCAGACCAGTCTGCCCGTCACCTAACACATGAGCACGAACATTTATCAATTACTAATTTCCTCCTGTTTGACCACTATCTAGAGTCATATAACCAACCAGGAAGATGGCGCAGTGGAGGCGGCCATCTGTCTGCTGGCCTTTGTATTTCATTAAAACATATTCCACACTCCTCGCTCTCCTCCCATGTGCAAGGGGCCCAATCTGGTCCTTAGAGGGACCCCAGAATAAGAAGAAGGCAGAGAGGCACTATGGGAAAACCTGTCTGGATATGGGCCAATCTGCCTGCCCATCAAAGGGGGTCCAGAAAATTTGCAACTTTTTAGGCTCCGAAGCCTCTTACAAAGACCAAGCCTTCCCTGCTCCTTCCCTGAAGCCAAGGTGGCTTGTGAACACTGCCGGGGGTGGGGTGGTGGGGGTGGTAAGGTGGCAACAGGGATGCCCAAAGCCCAGCAGACCCCGCCACCAGCAAGCATGTCTGAGTTTCTACCAGAACAGCCCTCTGCAGCAAACGTCGACACGTTGGATCACCCGAGCTGAGTTATTTCAGTGCCCGGGATCTGGCATGTGGTGGCACCCAAGCCTAACGCCACAAAGTGCAAGCAAGGCCCGGTGTGCACTTGACACACCCACACAAGCCTGGTGGACTTGGCCTGAACAAAGCCCTCCAGCCCCAGGCACGGGAAATGACCACAGGAGGCTAGGAGAGGAACCGTCATGAAAACTCAACATGAAGCTGCCGCATCTTGGCTGGACAGCTTCTGCCACAGACCCCAAGCCATGCAACTAACTCACAGGGGCCAGAGGTCTTATAAATTAGCCCCAACCGCATGAAATGCTGAAAACCACACTTCCCAATCTGAAGTGTGCCCTATGAGAGAGAGCGGGAAGCCGGCCAGCAAAGTAACCAATGCCAGAGTGACTGAAGGCTAACAAAAAGCTGCTGGTTTCCACTTCGGAGAGGCAGGCCTTTGAGCACTACCGACGAGGCACTTCCCATGCGAGAACGGGCTTTTCTGGGGTTCTGTGAAGGCTCCTGCAACACTCATGGCTCTCTGACCCACTTCCAGCCCTCACAGAGCTCCCGCTCGTCCTACGGGCCCCACCACTCGTGCCTGGCCCCGAGTCGGGAAGGAGTCACATGCGGCCCACAGCAGACGCTCAGCACAGAGCCCTGGACCCTGGCTGCCAATTCCCCCTATTTTAGGTACAACAAACATTTTAGAATGTGACCTCTAAAAACCAGCCATCTCTACAGAAAGAGAGCAGGTTACAGCTCTACCGAGTGTTAAGTTTCTCGGGGACAAGGACCCTGCCCAGGAGTCCACCCTGAGCTCCGCAGCTGCCGCGGAGGAGGAAGCTGGCACCCAAGCAGCTGCGCTGATGATCCCTGTGACCAAAACTGGAACCCAGCGCCTCCCCACGCCCCAGACCAACCTGCCTCACATTCACAGGTCTACAGCAGAAGGGGGCGGCAAAGGACCGGGCTCAGCCTGCTCATGCAACCGCAGAAAGTCGCAGTGTGCTCTGCTCCCGGCTCCTCAGGGAGGAGGAGGGGAGGAATCTGCTGGGTTTGGACTTGAGACTGGAAATGAGGAAAAGGCATGTGGGAAAATGGAGGAAGGGTAGCAGCGAGCCAGCTGCTATAGGACAAGCCAGATGAAGGATGCAGGGCGGGAGGGAGGAGCCCCACTAACCAGATGCGGGTGGGGGGAGGGCCACTGAGTGCTCCGCGGGGGGCCCTACGGGACTGGCACACGCTAGGCCCTCAATGACAGGACAAAGGAACAGCAGGCACACAAGAAGGCAAGGGTCAACAACCACATCATGCCGGCTGGACGCTGAGCACTCTGCACCAATTACGGGATTGCCGCCGGGTTGGGAGAGACCTGATGCCTCGGAAGGACCACCGGCCAAGACAGAAAGCCGCGCGCCCACGAGGGAACAACGTGTCTGGCCTTGGCGTGTGGAGGGGGCTGGGGCGAGGAGACTCCCTCCCCAGGAGTGGCAGCACCCCGGTAGGGGCATCGCTGGCCCCCCAACCTCCTGACCCTGTGGACAGGAAGTCGTTCCCCATCTCCCTCTGCCATGAGCTCCACTGGACCCTGTCTGGAGCTTGTCTGGCTGTCCTCCCTCAGACTGGGAGCTCCCGGAGGGCAGGGGCTGGCCTTGCTCTGCACGAACCAGGGGCTTCCCATGTGCCTTAATAAGGGGAAACCTTCCAGCTCCAGAGTCAAGCCCCCCATTCCCCACGTAATTCTTCACTTGAAAGGGGGGCTGGGGGAGAGAAGACTGCTCCCCATCAGTCACCATCCTAGACCCCCTGAGCAGGAGGAGGCATCTCTAGCACCAAGCAGAGAGGAGGCCTTTCACGTGTAAGAGGCTGACAAGTCCTCCGTGGGGCTACCTCCCCACCGATGCTGACCTATCCGGGACCACCCCGCCCGAGACTCTGGCCCCTCCTTGGTAAATTCCTCGGCATCTCCATCCCCACCCCCACGGTTCCAAGGCTAGCCTATGGCTCTAAATAGGTCACGTGGGACGCCTCCACCGCCCTGAAAAAGGACTGTGAATGAGGCAAAGCCAAGCAGAGCGGGGAGGAAGGGACAAGAGGCGTACCTGTAATGGGCACGTAGCCGACCCCCTGCTGGTACACCGTGGGCATCAGGACCACAGGCTGAGGCTGCATCATCATGGCGGTCGGGAGAGACTGGGACGAAAAGGCAGTGACAGAAGGTCAGTGGGGGCCGGGCAGAGGAAGAACCACTGGCCAAGAGCAGCACGCAGGCAGGCCCAGGGGCACCCCCGCTGCCATCTGTGACCTCATGCACATGAGCCCCCAGGTCCCGGGCCAAGACCGCCCCCTCCATCAGCGCAGCACAGCGGCATGGGGGTACAGAAGGGGGGGCAGGCCTGGTACCCATCCCACGGGCTCCCCGGCCAGTGTTCTCGGATCCTGACCTCACCACCCCTGACCACCCCCCCCAGGCTGGGCGATGAAATTCCTTGTTCCACAATGGGCCATAAACCCAGCAGGCCGCTTCTCTCCATGGGCTCACCGGAAGGAGGACGGCCCACACGCCCTCCAGACACAGCACCTCGTTAGCAAGAGCTTCCAGAGGGTGGAGCACGTTGGCTCCTGTGGGTGCCGCTGCACCGGGGGGGGGGGGGGGGGGGGGGGGGGGGGGGGGGGGGGGCAGGCTGAAATCCGTCCCCAATCCAGCCGCCCAGTAACCGGTGCTTCCCTTCAATACAACAGACCTTCCCGCTCAGCAGGAGAGGCTACATGAGGCTTCCACAGGCCTCCTGATGCTCCAAAGAACAAAACTCCAGAAACTACATTTCGCCTGCTCAGCTCCAAGCAGACAGCACCCCGGGGAGAGGTAGAAAGTGTGACCCAGCCCTGGCAAGGAAGAGGTTCTTTGGGATGAAGCATCAGTGAGAGAAAAGTCCACGCCTGACAGGACGCTCAGTGTAAGAGTCTGTCCGCAGTGAGAAAGGAACCTGAAGAGGGAGAGGTGAGACCCCCTCCACATGTGCGCAATGAGACAAGAGCCCAGGAGACCCCGACCATGCGCCATGGGACACAGCCTGCCTCACCCCTGACTGGCTTGTTCCCTGGGACATCCTCGTGGTGGGCATTCCCCCCAGGATCCGGAAGAGATCATAGCAAAAGTGTCAAAGAAGGAGATGTGATCCGATAAACAGGGGCGAGCACCCACGGTGTGCCAGGCACTGTGCTAAAATGCTGGCGATAAAACTAAGAAAGAGAGGGGCAGCTGGGTGGCGCAGTGAATAGAGCTCTGGCCTCGGACTCAGGAGGACCTGCGTTCAAATCCAGCCTCAGACACTTAACACTTACTAGCTGTGTGACCCTGGGCAAGTCACTTAACCCTGATCACCTCACCAAAAAGAAAGGAAAAAAAAAACTAAGAAAAAGAAAGGCAGACCCTGCCTGCAAAGACTTTACAATCCAGCGGGGGAAGATGATGCATGCCAAGAAGCTAAAGGAGGGGCGAGGGCCAGGGGGCACCATGGCACTGGGGGTACAGTGATGACGGTGGAATCAAAACCAGGCATAGCCAGGGTGGCAAAGGAAGAGACAGCTGGGCTTCTGAGCCCTCGTCTGCCTTATCCTCCGGCCCCCCAGTCAGAGGGTCCTGGCAAGGTGTGAAGGCCAAGGCTGAAGCCATCCCCAGCAGGATGATCTTCTTGGAAGCAGCTGAGGAAGATGATGGTGCCGGGCCCACGCAGACACCTGGAGCGGTGGGAGGGTGGCCCAGACCCTCGAGGGGCCAGATGCTTGTTAAGGAGTCGAGAACCCAAAGGTCCAAGATTTTGGGACAAGAACTCACTATCTGACAAAAACTACTGGAAAACTGGGAAGGGTTTGGCATCTCCCACCACACACTGAGATGTGGTCAATGTGGGGGCGTGACTTAGCCATAAAAGGTGATACCACGGCAAATGAGGAAGCATGGGATAATTCACCTGTTAGATCTAGGGATGAGGGAAGAAGTTAAGACCAAACGAGAGACAGAGAGTATCATGGGATGCAACTTTAAATTTTAAAAGTTTCTGCACAAACAAAACCAATGCAGCCAGGAAACTGGGGCAAAAACGTTTTACATCTAGTTTATCTCATATATGGGGAACTGAGTTAAATTTATAAAAATAAGGGCCATTCCCCACTCGTTAAATGATCAAAGGATATGAACAGGCAGTTTTCTAAGAAATCAAAGCTATGCATAGTCATATGAAAACGTGCTCTAAATCACTACTGATTAAAACAGGTCTCAGGTATTGCCTCACATGTACTGGACTGGTCAATATAACAAAAAAGGAAAATGACAAATGCTGGAGGGGATGTGGGAAAATTGGGACACTAACACCCTCTTGGTGGAGCTGTGAAACGATTCAACCATCCTGGAGAATAATTTGGAACTATGCCCAAAGGGCTACAAAACTGCACACCTTTCAGCAATGCCACCACCAGGTCTGTATCCCAGAAAGATCAAAGGGGGAGAAAAGGGCCTATTTATACAACAATATTTCTAGCAGCTCTTTCTGTGGTGGCCCAGAACTGGAAATTAAGGGAATGACCACCAACTGGGGAATGGCTGAACAAGTTGTGGCATACGAATGTAATGGAAACTTGTGCTATGAGAAAAAACAAGCAGGGTGAAAATCCTGGAAAGACTTAGATGGACCGATGCAGAGTGAAGTGAGCAGAACCAGAAGAACGTCGTGCACAGTAACAGCCACGTTGTGGGACGGCTGACTTTGATGGATTTAGCTCCTCTCAGCAATACAAGGATCTAAGACAATTCCAAAAGACTTGTGATGGAAGATGCCATCCACATCCAAAGAAAGAACTGGTGTCTGAGTGCAGACTGAAGTATCCTTTTTTTAACTTTCTTTATTATTCTTGGGTTTTTTTTATGAGTTTTCTTTTGCAACATGGCTTATGTGGAAATGTTTGGCATAACTGCACGTGTATAACTGATATCAAATTGCTTGCCTTCTCAAGGAGGGGTGAAGGGAGGGAAGAAAAGAGGAAGAGAATATGAAACTCAGCATTTTTTTAAAAGAATGCTAAAATTTTCATAATTCAGAAAAAAATAAAAAGGTTCTTTAAAAAGTCTAAAAGCAGAACAGTTCTTCAGCCAACAGGAAGAGTTCACTGTCCCCGGGCTGCAGAGTGACCAGGTGGAGCAGCCACCTCATCACAGCCCAGTTGGTTTTTTTTTTTTGTTTGCTTTTTGGTGAGGAGGTCAGGGTTAAGTGACTTGCCCAGGGTCACACAGCTAGTAAGTGTTAAGTGTCTGAAGCTGGATTTGAACTCAGGTCTTCCTGCCTCCAAGGCCAGAGCTCTATTCACTGCGCCACCTAGCTGCCCCTTACAGCCCAGTGTCTACACAGAATCCAAGTACATTCCTGACCAAAGGGCCTCATAAATCAGCCATGATTTTCAGCATTGCCAGTAGAATGTATTCCAAGCAACAAGTACAAAGCCAGGCTCTTAGGAAGGCAGGGTGAGAATGTGGCTTAGAACAGAGCGGCTGGGTCATCGCTGCTCTGACTTTCCAGACCCTCCGACTCTAGGACAGAAAGCTCTCAGTGACAGGCAGCGCGGATAAAACAAAAAACACCAGTTACTGGGCAGCCACCCACACCCCACACAGCAGGAGGCACACAAACCCACACAGGTTTCCTTCCTGGGAAGCCCTTGTTAATAACAGGCACTCCCGGCCCCCCCCATCTGCCCCTCCTCCGCACATGGCCCTACCGCCACAGGCCCACCCCCCAAGCCAAGCTCCCCACTTACCGTGTAGGACATGACCAAGTTAATCATCCCTTCTTTGTCATCGCCCTGCCTTCCACTTAAGCTGTACCATTCATCCTCCACCTTCCCTTGTTTGAGAGACTCAGGAATGGTGATGTGTGTCCACGCGATGCGGTCGTCCATGGAGAAGGCGCGCTGAGAAGAACAGGCCGGGTTACTGAGCTCGCCCCTGCCTGCAGCCTCCCGTCGACCAGAGCAGACGTCCGCCCTGCCCCCGCTCCCACCACAGTGCTAAGAGCTGGGAGGGATTCCGGGAGACTCCCCAAGGCCAGGAGAAAACTGGCCACAGACGCACAGGATGCACGTGCATTAGAATACAGTTTTAAACAAAATAAAATAAAAATAATAAACTTGTAGTAAAAGTTAAAAACAAATGTTAAAAATTGTTTTCACATGCAACTGGGAAATAAGATATACAGGCAATGGGGTATTGAAATCTGTCCTGCCCTACAGGAAAATAGAAGGGGAAGGGGATAAGAAATAGGGTGGGGGGCGAGACAGAAGGGAGGACAGATTAGGAGAAGGGGTATTCAGAATGCATGCCATCTTGGGGTGGGGGAAGGGACGAGATGGAGAGAAAATCTGAAACTCAGAATCTTGTGGAAATGAATGTTGAAAACTAAAAATAAGTACATTAAATCACTAAAAACCCTTTGACCCAGCAACAGCACTTCTAGGGCTGTATCCCAGAGAGATCATACAAATGGGAAAAGGACCCACATGAACAAAAATATCTATAGCAGCTCTTTTTGTGGTGGCAAAGAACTGGAAATTGAGGGGATGCCCATCAATTGGGGAATGACTGAGCAAGTCGTGGTACATGAGTGTAATGGAATACTATTGTGCTGTAAGAAATGATGAACAGGCTGACTTCAGAAAAACCTGGAAAGACACGTATGGTCTGATGCGGAGTGAAGTGAGCAGAACCAGGAGAACGTGGTCCACAGTAACAGCCACCTTGTGCAATGACTAGTATTGATAGACTTAACCCTTCTCAGCATTGCAAGGATATAAGACATCTCCAAAGGACTCGTGATGGAAAATGCTGTCCACAAAGAAAGACCTATGGAGTCTGAATGCAGATTGAAGCATACTATTTGCTATTTTTTTCTCCTGTTGTGTTTTGTTTCCTCTTTCTGGTGGATCCTCCTATGGGTTCTAATTCTTACAACATCACTAATGTGAAAATATGTTTAATAGGACTGTATATGTAGAGCCTACACCAGATTGCGCGCTGTTTTGGGGAGGGAGGTGAGGAGGGAGGGGGAGAGTTTTAAAACTCAAAAGCTTACGGAAGTGATTGTTGATAATTCAAAATAAATTAATTTTTGAAAAATTTGAAAAAAAAAGAATAGCCCTGGCTCCGGCCGCTCCGGGTGGGCAAAGCCAACAGCAGCTCCTGGCCTTGGCCATCCTCTGGAGGGTCCACCACCAGGAACGTGTAACTAACAAACCATCACGGCCCCCTCACCTGCCTGGGATGAAGTCGGCAGGCAGAGAGGTGGGAGATGTGGGCCAAAGAGGAGCCCAGGCATCTCCCGGGCCCCCCAGGCTGCTCAGGAAGAAAAGCCCTTCCTTGCTGGGTGTGAGCCCGGCGGTACCACTTACCCTTTCTCAGCCTCAGTTTCCTCATCTATAAAATGGGGATAATGAGAGCAGGTCACCACCCTCAGAGGGCCGTACAGATGTCTGCAATCATCATTACCACTCTTACGCATCGCTGCACACGGAGGTTGCTTGGGCAGTTCTCAGAACTAACTTGGTGTTATGAAGATCTCAAAACAGAGAGGGGGCTCTGGGTCTCTAATAATCCCTTCAGGGAGTGTTTACCACAGTGGGACTTTTGGGGAGGAGGAAATGACGCTTCATCCAAAAATGCCCCAAACCTCCTAAAAGCATGCGTCTGTCATTTTAAAAATCCTTAAAAAGCTCCATTCCCAGTGAAGCCAAGACAAGACGACCAGGTAGAAGGCGGCGAGTTCCACCTCTTTCCTCCAAACAGACCTAGAAATGCACCAGACCAAAGCCTGATGAGAAAATCCGAGATAAAATCACAGTGGGTCCTTTGTCCAGCCCAGGTCAGCAGACCAGAGACAGACAAGGTCTGACCAGGAGTGACCATGCGGAGCCTTCCTTCCAGCCCAGGGTGGGGCTGCCCACCAGGGCCAAAGGAGGCACCACACCCTCTCTATGGGAAGGGGAGCCATCTGGCGGGTCTGTCGCCCACTCCCAGTTCCGGGGCAGAATAAAGAAGGAACCCCAGGCGTGGCACTCCAAGACAAGGGGCAGCCACAGGTCCTAGGCGAGGACAGAGGAGAGCAGGTTCAGAAGCAGCAGCTCGGGGGTTGCTCAGACTCGGGAGCAGGGCAAGAGCCAGGGCAGGAACCCCAGCCCGAAGGGGAGTCTGCACTTCTCTCACTCGGGACCAGCCGGCAGGGGCTCAGGCCAGCAGCGCCTGCTGGTGCTCGGACCCGACCCCAGGTCACTAACCTGTCAAGCTCTGACGGGGGCGGAAACCAGATTGCCTCTGGAAGCCCTGAAAGTCCGCAGGTCCTGAGCCTGGATAACCCAACAGTCAATACCCCACGAGGGCAGCACAGAGCCAGCCCAGGCCTGCCCTCCAGAAGCGTGCCGAGCGCTTACGTGAAGTCCAAGAATCCCACCATAAAAAGCTATCACGGTGAGAGAAATGGCAGAAGAGGGCAATAACTCCACAACATCTACAGGCAAAGCCTCAAGAAAAAACAAACAGAAATAGGCACAAATCCAACAAGAATTCCTGGACGAGAGGAAGCAAGCGCTTAAAAGGAACCTCACAGCACAAACAAACAGCCTGGAAAACAGACCGGAGAGAAAGAAGAGACAGAATCCTTGGATTCGCTGAAAGCCAAGCCCAGAGACTGGACATCAGATTTCAGGAAATCCTAAAAGAAAACTGCCCAGCTCTCTTGGAACCAGGATCCTCAAGGCACCCCCTGAAAAAAAGTCCAAAAGGAAAGCATCCGAGCCCAAACCCAGAGCTTTCGGGTCAAAGGAAAAACACCGCAAGCTGCCAGAAAGAAAGAACGAGAGTCCTGAGGAGCCAGAGTGACTTAACAGCCATGACCAGAAAGGGGCAGAGAGCCTGGAATGAGCTATCCTAGAAGACAAAGGACTTAGGCTTGAGACCAAGAATAACCTGCCGACAAAACTGAGCATAATTATCCAGGGGAAATGGGGACTTGAAGGAGACAGAGGAGCCCCAGGCATTCGAGCTGTGGCGAAGCTCCAAGTTCAAACACAGGAGTGAAGAGAAACATAAAAAGGTCAACACGAAGGAACAGGACCAAGCACGGACGGACTGCTTCCACTCTAACACGGGGACATGATACATGTGTCCCCTCTAAATCTGCCGCCATCAAGGGCCACAGAGGAAGTCTGGTTAGACAAGGCTCCAGAGCGATTCTGTTACGTCTTGATGGGCTTAAGTAAAGGAGGGGGAAGGGGAGTACACGGGGGAGGGGGTGCGAAGAGAAGCTTAGGGAAATTTATCTCCCATAATCAAGGTGCACAAGTGGACTTCTACACAAAGGAGGAGGAGAAGGTAGGAGGCGGCAGCTTCACACGAGCATCACTCTCACCTGAACTGGTCAAAAGAAGGAAGAATACGCGTGTGTGCGCACACACATGCACGCGCGCGCACACACACACACACACACACACACACACACACACACACACACACACACACACACACACACCATACGTCACCCAAGGGGAGATAGGAGCGCAAAGGAAAAGGGGGAATCAGAGGGAGGACAAACTCTAAGGACATACAAAAACATCTGGAGCTTTCTTTGAGGTGCTAAAGCAGGTGCCCCTAAATTGGGGCGTCACTGAACAAGTGAGAGAATATAAATAACAGCTCCAATTCCAGAGGCCTGGTGCTGAAGCCTGCCGGCCACCTCCTGACAGAGGGGCAGGACGGAGGGGTCGAATGGTCACGGTCAAGGTGGAAATCTGACTATACACGTCTAAGCAGGGTTTTGTTTTCCTTTCATTCTCAACTGGAGGTATGGGATGTAGAGGATTTTTCCTGACTGAAAAAAACAAAGCATAATTTGAAAACAAGAACAAAACAAGCTTTTCCTCTCCTGAATGTTGCTGACGGCCTTTGCCCATTGATTCGCCGTAGACTGGGAGTCAGGGAGCTTTTCACAGTACCTCACACACACTTCCTGCACCCAGCTTTCTAAATTTTTCCAACGTTTGCTCTAAATACCCTCATCTAGTACTGTTCCGTTCTAAATCATATTTTCTCTCTAGTCCAGAGTTTGCTTTGGTCAATCCGTCTTACCCATGATTCCTTCTACGTGTCAAATCAAAAACGTTCTATTCCTTCCCCAAGCCAGAGGAACCTTCATCCAGTCTTCTCTGCCAGACTGTGCTCGTTTACGTGTTTTAATCAACCTGAAGGGTTCCGGGGAAGCAGGACCTGAACTGCTTTCATTGGCATTTCTCTCATTAGAGCTTTGGGGCACTGTCACGTTTGCTGCCCATGCGCACTTACAAAGTGCCAGGGATACCAAGAAAAGGCCAAGGACACCAAGAAAAGGCCAAGGACTGTCCCTGCTCCCAACGGGCACAGCAGCATGATTCACCAACAAGGGAGGGCACACACACCCAGGAGGACCACCACACACACATACAAACACACACACACCACACACACACACACACACACACACACACTCCCACACACATAAACTCCCACAGACCACACATATACTCCCCACACACATACACACACACACCACACATACATACAAACATACACCACACCCAGGCCCTGGCACAAACACACACCACAAACACACACATACATACACACACCACACACACACTCTCACACACACTACACAATGCACACTCACACACATGACACACATGCACACACTCTCACACGATACGCACCACACGTTACACACACAGACAGTCGAGATGGAGAAAACAGAAGGCAAGGACCCCCCTCCCCGATGCTCCACCATCGCCCCCCTCCGGGGAACCAGCATTTAACTCGGCACCTTTTCTGGTCCAGCTGCTCCCCCCCCGTCCTGGCCCAGCTCCCACCTCTGACCCTTTGCCGCTCCCTGGGCCAGCCACACGGAGGAAGGAGGCCACGTGCAGACGGCCCTGGCCAGGGAGTCCGAGCACCTCCACCCCAATCCCGACTCTGGCTCCTCCTATGAAGAGCTGGCCTGGGGACCCTCCCAGCCCTGGGCCAGGCTGCCATTCTCATGCCTTCAGGCTGTCTGGGGAAAGGAGGCCTGGAAAGCCAGGCCCCAGAGGCGGGGGCAGGGGGTGCCTTCCTGCATCTCACCTCATCAAAGATCTCCAGGTAGAAAGAGTCCACGCCCGGAGGCACCGTGCACTGAATCACTTTGTTCCAGCGAGGGTTCTTGGCGCCATTGTGGGCAGTGGCCGTTTCGTACACAGCGTAGCCCAGCCGGATGCGGCAGTACGGATCCATGCGGGTTACACCGTAGTTCTTTGCCAACTTCGCCTACAAAAGAACCGGGTCAGGGAAAGGGGCGTGAGGGCCCGGAGCGTCTGCCTGCCTTGCCATGGGATTTCTTCTCCACTAATGCCAGCTGCCAAAACGTTTCTTACGCTTTGCAACTGAAAATCAGGTCCCCACATGCCAGATCTAGGAGCTTTCTTCCTGGTTCCCACTGACCTGGGAGCCACCGCCCAAATGGGGTTTGAGGAAAGCTTCCTAACAGGACAGGGTCCCAAACGGGCCCGGGCTGCTATGGCAGGTGGTGAGCTCCCTGTCCTTGCGGGGGGCCTCAGGCAGAGCCCGATGTCCCCTGGTAGAGATGCCTCGGGGATCCCCCCACTCCCAGTTAGTGCCTATCGTGCATACACGGTTACCCTCAAACGGAACATTAAGAGAGGAAGAGGAAGGCGGCTAGTCATTTTGTCCACAGAAAGGGGCGACTAAAAGCCAAAAAACATCATGCTTCTGGGACCACCCGGGGATGGATGACACCTGGCCTCACGCTCTCCACTGAGGCCCGTCCAGCTCTGGCCTCCCAGAAAGGAGAGGGCACACGAAGGTGACAAGGAGGCAGGCACAAGGCAGAGACCTCGGAGTAATTGCAAAAGATCTCCCTGTGCCAATTCAACAGAAGCTCACCCCTCGCCTCCTTCCCCACCTGTGCCACAGACTCACCACCTTCCGTGTCTCAATGCCCTCCCGACGCCCAGGTGCCATCACCGTGTCGTGGGTGTAGCCTCGGGATGCCTGGGCCTCGCCAGCAGCCAGTGGGATGCACTCCCCCAGTTAGAGTGGGCGCCCCCAAGGGCAGGCCCTGTCCCACTGAGAATGTATGGAGCCGGGACAAGTGCTGGCTGAAACAGCAGCAGTCACCTTCCAGACATCTGTCAGGAGAGCAGCCTCACCCTCCGGGCACGTCCATCTGCAGGCGCCTTTGGCTGACAGCAGTCACTGCCAGGGCTGCGAGCGGCCTCTCCTGAGGGAGGCCTAGCACCCGCTGGCAGCCCCACCCAGCGCCGGTCGGTCAGGGCACGTCTCGGCGGCAAACAGCGTGGATGGCCGTGGCCTGGGCCCCTAGGGGCCCCTCGGCTTCCTCACTTAAGAACTAGGTGTGGCAGTGGGGACTTGTTTCAGATCTTAAATGTCCCCCAAAGCAGCTGACCTTTTGTCTCCCAGCCTAGAAGCGGTGACTCCCCCGCAACATTCACTCACACAAGCCACCTTTCTGGGGAGCCTTCCTAGGAGGACGGCCTCAGGGAGCTCAGGACTGCCCCGGCCTGTGAGGCTGGCCCCAAAAGCAGAAGGAAACTAAGCACGCTGGGAGGCCCTGGCCTCCAGGGAAAGAAGCCTTGATGGGAAGCAAGAAGGCCCAGCGAGCTTCATTCGGGCAAGGCAGAGGAGCGATGCAGCGAGGCTTTTCTACTTAAGAAATACATTTCAACTTTTCGAACCAGATGGATCCGCAACATTTAAAGAAATATCTCCAATGTCTTTTTTTGCAAGAACAGGAAGAAATGGCACCTTTTAAAATTCCTTCTATGAGACAAATCTAGTCCTGACACCTAAAGCAGGGAGAAATCATTAGAAGAAAACTAAAGAAACAAATAAAAAAACTGAATAAATTGGAGGCCACAACAGCATACAAAAGGCATCAAAACCTGTATGACCAAGTCTCATTTAGTCCATGAAAATTGCTGTGGCTCACTCCCGTCTGACTCTCCACAGCCCCATTCGGGGCACCTGCTCAGCCTCGAGGCCTCTGCCAGGACAGCAACCTGCCCTTCTTTCCCTGGTTTCAGTCTGGTGGCTTTAGGGGCATCATTTCAAGGGCCTTCCACCAAACGGGGCGGCATCCCGCCTCCGCAGCCACGGACCGTGCGCGGGTGCGCGTGCGTGGGCCTAGGGTGTCAGTCCTTCACAGAGACCGTCTTCCCGTTTGTATGCCCTCATTCTCCTTTGTCTGCTTCATCTCCCACGATCCTCTGCTCTTCGTCCCCTCTGCGTCCGTCAGAGGCTCGTCCCTGCTCCGTACCCTTGACTTAGCCACGCTGTTGACTCTGAGGTTTCCATCTCCGGTCCCTGTGCTTTTGCACTAGTTGTCCCTCGTGCCCGCCGTGCGTTCCTTCCTCACCCCCGCCTCGGAACTCACGGGCCTCCTGTCAGCACACCCACGGCAATGGTGAGGACCGGGGGGCTCGAGCAAATTGTCGATTTTTAGCTGACTCTCCTTGCTCCGGCAGTGATTTGTCATTTGCCAAAAGCAAACACCTGGCAGTGAGTGTGAGTGTGAGTGTGTGTGTGTGTCTGTGTGCGCACGTGTGCACTTGTTCCCTCGATTTGTTTGCTTTTCTTGCGTGATTTTCTCTGATTGTCTCGAATCCTAGCGGTCTCAGTGACGTTCCCGCCTTCCGTCTGGGGGAAGGCCTCTGCTGTTGTTCCATTTACCTCGAGACTGCTGAGCACAGGGAACTACATTCAGCTGATTCCTGTTGTGTTGGTAAAATGCCCTTTCCGCATCTCTCCATCATGATTTCTGTTGGTTTTATTTTTAATGTGGCCTGTCACTTTGAGTTTTCCTAATTTTCCTGGCAGCTAGGTGGCGCAGTGCACAGAGTGCCAGTTCTGGACTGAAGAGAGAAGTGGTAGGTGGCGACACTGGGAAAGCGCGGGCTGACCCCGCAGCACGCAAGGGGGCGGTCCAACGGGGCAAGCGCTTGGGGAAAGCGCTGTCCCTTCCTATCTAACCCTCTCTTCTGTTTGTTTTTTTTTTGGACTGAAATGTTCCTCTGATTCCTAAATTCACAAGAAAAAAACAAACCGATTCAGGGATTCAATCAGGGGGTGGGCGAGCCAGAGAAGTGGGTGGGTGAGCCCATAGGGTTTTCCGGATTCCCACAGCTGAGTGGCCTCCTTCCGGGAGAGACGCTGTTCAGCCTATGCTAAGAGCCTGCAGGATCCAGACCACCCCAAGGACTCTCCCAGGCCAGGAAACCCAAGGAGACCCCAGCGCGGGAGGCACACAGCCAAGGGGGCTCCCCCAGATCCATCTATTTGCATAGTCGTTGTGCAAACCCCAAACTATCACCAGATGAGCCATCAGCTCATCTAACCCTAATTGCGCTCATGCGATGATGAGCCTCTCAATCGTGTTCCAGATAAAAATAAAACCATCGTATTAACAATGCACATGGGAAAACCTCACTCCAGACTGGCACATGCAGACGGACAGACAGCTGGAGACAGAATGGTCCACATTCACCCCCAGGGGCCCCAGCACACCTTGAAGACCCCTGGCACAGCCACCCCCTCCAAGGCGACCACGGAGCAGCAAAGGAGGCCGCAGTCTCCGTGGGACAGTGAGACAGCACCGAGAAAACTGGACAGGTCCTCAACAAGCATGTGGGATCCCCGACGGACGGTCCAGGGCGCGCTGCCCGCCTGCGGCCTCTGTGGATGGCGGGCCCAGGCCGCAAAGCTGCAGAGAACAGGAGCCCCAGGACTGACGTGGGGGCAGCCCGCCCTTGGCCGTGGCCTCCCGCCACTCTCTGGACAGCCAGGGTCAACATTCAGCAGGGTCAAGGCTTTGCCTTCTTTCCAATGTCCAACCAGAGCTTTCAAGATAAACTCTCAGGTATGAAAAACATCCACACACAAAGGAACCCTTTCACTCCGGCCACCTGAAAAGCTGCCCTTCCAGTGAATTTCTCAGTGAAAAGCCTGAAGCCCTCTCCCGTGCTCCCCTGGTGCCCAGGGCCCGCCTGACCACCCACGCTCAGGGCAGAACCCGAGGGAGGAGGGGAAGCCAGTACCTGCACCACGGTGATGCTGAGTCGGCCCACAGTGTTCAAGGCTCCGCCGTACTGCAGCTGCTGCGCAGCCTGTGCATCCAGCTGGATCTGCTGCTGCTGCTGCGTGGGGGTGATGCGCAGGAAGTCCTGGGGCAACTCGCCGATGTAAACCTGGAGGAAGAGAAGGGCGCGGCTGAGCAGCCCGCCTCCCGGGTGGGGGCGGGGGCCAGGGCATCCACCTCTTTGGACCAATTGCCAGGCTGACAACTTTGTCCTGGGATGGAGCCCCCGTGGCCTCGTGTGGAGGGCGGCCCTGGAACACGGGGACACAGCTCTTCTGCCCCCAGGACGTCTCCTCATCAGGCCCTTCACCGCGATGGCCACCTCCCAGCTCATTCATCAACGGCCGGCTCCCACAACTGGCCACCACACCCCAGAGGAGCTTGGGGGAAGGCAGAGGACAGACCTTCACCTCCCACTCCCACAAGCTCTGCCTCTCCTACAGCAGAAGCCCAAGACCATATGGTCCCGTCATTGGCTGCAAATCCGTCACCTTGCCCACTCGTGGGGCGCTCACAGTCTCCTCAAACCCCGACACTTGATTTCAGAACAAGTGGGGAGGTGGAAGGGAATGAGCATTTATATAGAACCGGTCTTGTACCAGGAACTTTACAAATTCTATCTCATTTGACGTGTGTGAGAGAGAGAGAGAGAGAGAGAGAGAGAGAGAGAGAGAGAGAGAGAGAGAGAGAG